ATAACTGTTCGGCAGTATATCGCGTTATTACTCAGTACAAGTTATACATGTAACTTCAAAGATGTGGGTAATGACTGAGAATATAAGTAATAGATTCTTTATTTGCTTATTAATATTGTTCTAAATCACAGAATTACAGCTTACCATCATATTTGCCGACTGTAGTTTAATAGATAATTGAATTGCATATGTTTTAACGTTTCTCTATCTTGACGTTTGGTCCGTGTTAAAACTGAGTGTCTCTTACCAAACAATCCATTAAAATCTAAACTGTATGAAATTTAGTGTTTGATGTCGGCTTTCTAGTTGTGCTACTCCATAGACTATTTCCTTAATAAGTAATGTTCACTCGCTGAGATGGATAATGACTTGGAGAAGCTGGAAGCTGATATTTCCAAACTGATCAAAACTTCTGAGCCAAAGACGTGACACTGAAATTAAATGCGTTTTGCACAAACTGTGATGTAGATAATCGCAAATACACTGATGTTAATTTGTTTGATTACCTTTTAAGTATTGATTGTAAAGGGGTTTTTAGAAACATTGGGAAGAGTGGTAACAGTAAGCCAGACTAGTTTTGCCGTTATTCTTGTCTCCTTATCTAATAAATGAAATGAAACAATAAACTGTCAGTGAAACTTATTGCTCGCTCTTAACAATGCTCTCGAACTATAATGTTCCAAGTGACGCATCTCTTTTCAATCTTTTTTTATACATAGGCTCCTGTATTTTACTTTTGCTATCCTTGGTGTCTTCACTTTCGTTAACCTTTCGCCTTTGTCTGAATTCCCAGTCTATCTGTGCCGTTTCGAGATGCTAGTGAGTAGCCTTCAAAGTGGTTGTCCCCAGTGCGGCATCTAACACAGATATCTTGAAATCGCTCGCCACTGATGCAAATCGGACAACAGGCAGGTCTGGTATGAACATTGGAAAGCCTCGCTATTAATGTCTGCTGCGTTTTGGAGACCCACATTCAAGATCCCAGTGAAGTTCTTCGATTATCCTCTCCATCTGAAACTTCGAATAGTATGCACCACCTGCGCTTGCCTGAGTTCCCTTTGGCGTCAGCATCCGGCGTAGCTGGCGTCAGCGTCGCACTAAGCGCTAGAGCCGAAGCTGCATTACTCGACTAGATCCCCACTAACAGTCGTTTATATGCTGTGAGGCTGGGAGGTTATACGAAAGTAAGGAGTGGCAGGCCAGGTAGCTGGTGCCTATTTGTTGTCTCTGCCTATGCACCAACGGATTGCAGCCTGGATACAATTAATGACGAGTTCTACTACCAGTTGAGCAATCTCTTGAAACAGGCGGGTCGGAGAGATATCGTAATGCTGGCTGGGGAATTCAATGCACAGGTCGGGTGTCTAAGCCCAGAGGAGAACCGTCTAGGAGGTCAGTGAGGTTTACATGGTCTCAGGTCAGATAATGGGGACCGTCTTCCGCAGCTTTGCGCAGATTGCAACTTATTTCTAGCCAGCACCAACTTCTTGCACAGTCATCGCCGTAGCGCTACCTGGTGTCCACCCTCAAGCTTGGACTCAGATTGATCATATCGCTATCAGTGGTGGGGACTGCCGCTCCTTCTGAAGCATATGTCTGGACTCCGATCATGCATTAGTGTGTGCCAGGTTCGTCTTGCGATTTGGTGGAGTTCATAAACGGTGCCATCTAAACATTGATATAAGCAGACTAGTAGCACCTCCTACTTCTTTGCAACCCCCAAGTAGCATAGATGAACATTAGCTTCATCTATAAGAAGCCATGTAAATGGCGGGTGTAGCCACTTGCGGCTTAAAGGAATGCTCTGCTAAAAACCACTGGGTTTCTGCTAGTTCCTTGCAATTCTTGGGTGAACACCGTTCCATTCAGGCTGGCAGCCGACCTAACAATATGCCTACGCCCAAGATTAGACGGTATTTACGTAAGGACCGCGAACCTGGTGGTCAGAACGTAAGTGTAAGGTGAAATTAGCAGCTGCATCTGGCAACAGTCAAGCTGTTCCAGCTCATCCAAGCCACCGGCAGCAAGAAACAAGATGTTAGCGAGACTGTCTGTGAGGCAGACGGCATGCCAATTACCAGTATGAAGAGACGCCTAGAACGCTGGGCAGAGCACTTTGAGAAGCAGTTTAGCTTACCACTAACTTCAGTATCCACTGTCACTAGCTGCAGTGCTCCTTGGTCGGTCAGTACTGACCTACCAATCGAAGCTGAGGTCCGGGAGGGACTCTAAGTACTGAAACTCCATAAGGTACCCGGCCCAGACAATCTACCCCCAGCTCTTTTTAAAGATGGTGAGGGGACCGTCGTCATGGCTTAACTAGATTATTCAGGAAAGTATGCCAGACTAAGAGAATGTTCCATCAATGTGGAATAAAACCATTATCGTCCCATCTTTGAAAAGAGTCGACGTAATCCATAGGGGTATCAGTCTGCTACCAGTCGCGTTTAAAATATTGGCTGTTGTCTTGCTTCGCAGGGTATGCAAAACACGTGAAGGATTGATTCGCGAAGATCAGGCTGAGTTTCGTTCATGTTGTGGATGTATTGATCACGTGTTCACCCTTCGTCAGTTGTTGGAACACTGCCACATGTATTGCAGGCCAACAATCGTTGTGTTTCTTGATATTAGAGCTGCCTTAAATTCGTTGGATAGAACTGTGTTTTGGAACTGTCTGTTAGAAAGGGGTGTACCCGAGAAGTTTGTTAACATCTTGAAAGTCCTATACAGAAACACCTCAGGTAGACTGAGGGCATAGAACCAAATATCATCACTGTTCCCAACCAACAGTGGAGTTAGACAGGGTTTCCCAGTCTCTCCATTTCTCTTTAACTTTGCCATCGATGACATTCTGGAGTCAGCTCTGAAGGACGTGACGTAGATCTGCTCCCTGGAGATAGACTTTTTGACCTCAGGTATGCAAACGATATCGTTTTACTGTGCGATAGCATGCAAGCTGCCCAAATCGCACTTAATCAGCTGGTGATCAGTGTCTGTATGGTATGTGCTTTGCGCCATCTAAGTGCAAAGTACTGCTACAAGATTGGCAGGAGCCTGTACCTGCACTCACTCTTCCAGGTGAAACACTTGCAGTTGTCAATAAGTTTGTGTATCTGGGTAGACGCTTCCGTCCAGGTCTCTGTTCACTAGCCCTGGGACGGGATGGAAAAAGCGGTGAGGTGGTCAGCCCATGACGTGGCGTTGTGGGATGAAGGGTATATATATACGATTAAGTCAGTGGAAACCAGCCTTTTAGTGTCTATTTGTATTCAACAGCACTTAGTGCACATATTAAGTTCGCTTAGAAAGAATGTAATATTTCAGTGCGTATGCTGAGTCATATAATTCTTTTCATGGCTCTGAGTCGATTACTAATAGAATTAAAATAATAAAACTTCGCAAAGATCGTTTGGCAACTCTGTATTATCCCTTCCTGCTAGCATGAGTTAAAATGGAATGCCTTAATCGAAATAAATCTCTTTCTTCGGATCCATGTGTTCTTATAATTATACCTGATCTATAAAGTCAAATGGACCTTCAAATAAAGAAGCATAATAACCATCGTATGTAGTCAGAGTAAGGTATGAGTGTGAGCAAGGTAAATTTGAAGAAGAGCTGTTGATGTAAGTTAACTGTGACGAAGTTAGTGGTGCAAACAAGTTTATCAAGCTCTTCTGATATGCAGAAAGTTGTTGTAACCATCAAGATTACAGCTAAATTCTGCTTTGATCTAACCACTCATTGAACTGGAAATTTTTTCATGTGCCTCTAAATAGTCGTATTGGTTTTCAATTTTCCTTTTGCCAACGGTACCGTCAACTGGAATTAACATCTGATTTTACACAATTACCTGCTAACTAAATGGTACATTAACTAAATCTTCAATAATACAAGCGGATTCAGAAAATATACTTTTGCAACTCTAGAAACTATCTAGAATGTTAGAATGATACACTTCTGATTCTGTGCATACTTGATTAGATAACTAAGTGAGAACGTTCATCATCAGCAAACGTAGTGAATTATTTATATTATAATGTAAGACGACCACGACAAAATGTATTTTTTATCTCATGCCACGTAACAGTAGCTAAAAGTTCGGTGCGTTTTTTCACGTTAATTCTACTACTTTTCAGTTATTATTAATGCTCAAGAGATGTAGCATGTGCTCTTTATAATCGGCAGCATAATGTAAAATCAAGAAGTATTCGAAACAAAGTAGAAATGTTCAGTTCGCTTTGTCACCACCTTAAGCATGCCGTTTGCCATGTCTTAGAATCAAAAAGCAATCGGTTCGTAAGAAAAGTCCGTGAATATAAGTAAAACTGGTAGAGTGCATGTTTCATAGAAGATTTTTCGGTTAAGTCGTGATGCTGTATGCTTTGTTATACATTATATAATAGTCATATCTAAGTGAGAATCATGCACTGAGTTTGGTCCTTGCAACAAGTTCTTACTAAAGTTGGTGTCTTACAAGTACATAAGATTTAGGAAGTGACATTTATTTCCTAAAATTCGGGAGATTCTTACAACTGATTTTGAATATCCATCGACAACTGGTTTTTGAACGTGTTCGGCCTGATGGAAACAGCGTTTATAGTGCATAACTGCTCAGAAAGAGTGTACATCTATTAACTTGCTTAACAAAGGTGGGGCTAGTAAAGAGCTTAAAAGTCAGTGCATTCTGTAAAGTATTATATAATACTTTGAGAATGACAGTAACTGATTTCTCTGTGACTTACATCAGCTGTATCTTTCGTTTACAAAAGTATCGAACTTTACTCCAGTAATTGGAAAATTCCCTAGTGCTGCAATCACCACACGTTGATGAGAAAAGATGTATACGCTAACTAATACTGAAATAAGTATCGTTTTGATTTTGAGATAAAAAAACTTTAAAGCAGAGATATATATTTTATTAGAACAAATCAATTGACAAATGTTTGTTTTACAGAGAAAAGTAACAGACCCATACGATATAAAAAAGAAGTCACTTGATGTCATACTGCACCAATTAGCTCATCAATTTCATCCCAGTCGATAAAGCTTGTGCTAGGAACACCACCAACTTCAGTGAGTAGATCCGTTTCTGGCACAGAATGGGGACTTTGTGGAACTTGGTAATCCTGACAAAATAATAAGTTAACTTGAATACCAATTGTATGCTAATTTGAAAATTATTAATATATTAAGACGAAGGTCAGATAATCATAGTAATACTGGCAGTAATAAATCTTGTACTCAGTGGTATTTTGTCCCAAGTAAACTTTCAAGTCTCAAGAGTGTTGAGTGGAATTTAGTGATTAAGCATTCCATATAGTCGCTAAGCTGTACAGCAATATACTTCTGTGCACTGTGGTGGTGTTAAGGCTTCTTACACCTACTTCAAAGTTTAATCAATCAAGTTGTTGAAAGGCTGCAGTGCACCATCCGCAATACCAAAATAAACGTAAGACTAAAATTAGTAGATGAAAGCGAATTAACTTAGTGTTAATAAGATAAATGTCTGGGGCACCTGAGGGTGTTTTAAATTTTGCTTTAGTGGGCACTCGACCGATCAGGTTTGGATGCCATTTTGTGTTTCTCCTTTGTGCTGCTAACACGTACATCCTTACAGTCTATAGTCTAGCCATACTAGCCTAATAAGTCCTAAATTGTTTTCCCCAAATAACCTTAATGTTTTATTCTATTTAACCATATTGCTTATCAGAAAATATTTCAAAGAGACTAAATCTTTCAGATTTGCGTTTCGTTATCAGTACTGGCTGGTTGGATATTACACTGATTAAGTGAGCACATGGCACGTTGTAACTAGTAAGGACGGTATAGTGCGATATGTCAACAACACAGCCAGACCCTTACAGAGGAAGTTTAATAAAGGTAATTAGATAAACGACATCAAAATCTGATACAGCATCCTAACATTTGCATTTAATATAGACTATAATATCACGTAGACGTCATGTGAATTGTGGAAAAAAGAGGTGTAAGCTCTTCCAGAGGTCTAATAATGATAATACTAATAATGATAATATTTCTTATTACACTAAACAGTTTGCAACATAACCTCGCAATAGATAACAAATGATTCGAAATTGCAGCCAAAATATGAGGTAATTTTGTTCTTAAGGCTTAGGTTTCAACAGTAGTTAGTCTCAACAAACGTATAACATACAGTGTACACAAGCTGACCTGGTTGGAATTAACATCATCACCGAAATGTTGAACTTTGGATGAACTAAGAAATCTCACATCTTCATCTCCGTAAAGTATTCTTTTTACATCACTTTCTAATGACCAGTCACTTAGAATTGTTGTTTGTAGATCATCTTCATAATTTGATTGTTTTGGT